TGCAAATATGTTCATTTAATCATATTTCTGATTTACATTTTTTTGTTAATCACCTCTAATCTACATTGTGTGAGCCACGGGGCACCGGCACTGGACTGACTCCATTGCTTGCATTACAAGTGATACTATTTTATGTCATCAGCACAGACAAATGACAAAGAATAAAGAAAGCTTTACTTGCTATTTTATATGAAAAAAAAAGGAAACTATGTACCTATATTACATTTTCCATTCAACCTAGTGGACTCAAAGAGTGAAGAATCCACTGCAGCAAGGCAACTTCTTCCACACCACCTGCGTCCAGCGCTTTCAGATGTTCACTTAAACACACCCACACACACACACACACTCCTTGACACATTTACTGTCTCAATATTTGCTCAAGGGTGTCTAAAGTACTGAGGCTGATGAGTGGTAGCTGAGCACCGCCGAGACTGAAGGGAGAAAGCAGGTGCTTCGGGGGCTCAGCAGCACTATAATGGAGCTGCCAGTAGAAGAGCCCTTTAGCCAAATCACTGTTTTATTAAGCGCAAATGTCAACAAAGGTCTCAAAGCTACAGTCACCACAATAAAATTGAAATTCTCACAGTATCAACAATACCCCCCCTAACCTCCCTGTTGGGCGACAACTATCAAATGATCATCTCTCTGGTCAGTCCACAGAAGAGGGTCACAAGATGAACGTACCAAACAAACACGCAAGAGTGCCTCAAGATGCAAATGTGGGAGGATGAGATGCAGCAGGTCAATGTTACTTTGCAAAATGAGTCGTGCCTGTGCTATTAAATGGCAGTAAACGTTTGGATCATAGATGAGTTACATGGACACTATCATCCTGATTATCATCGAGTTGTGAGACAATTCAAGGTATGTTTGGGCATTAAACTGTCTAAATATCTTAAATACCTAGATAAGATGTGATCCAAACTTTTCAGAAAGCTGTATGTACCTCAGAAGGAACTGTGGAGTACAAGTGCAATGTCCTGGTGCTTAATCTCTGTGCACCTGTGCAGACAAAAGAGAAAGGATGACAAATTATATAATTATGATTCACACACCAGAGTGAAATTAGAGGGCCCGGCACTGACAATTTGGAGGATAAAATGATTATTGCTTGTCGCTTTTGTTTTCCGTGAGTGGTAATCAGACGGAGGAGACAAATCCGACAGAGCGGTAAACGCAGTGGGCAGGCAGAAACCAAAGTGGGTTAATCCTCCACTGCTGTGGCAACTCACTCTGTGTAAGAATGACAGAGTGGCAGGAATGCTGAGGAGTCTCAGACATGGCTGCTCGCACACAGATGATTAAAGAGTTGGACAACATTAGAATCATATACTGATTCGCAAATTGCGGTGAGACGAGGCAGGCATACAGGGAGATAAAGTGAGCGGGTTACTGAAGGCTCCAAGTGGTCCTCACATCCTGCATATGATCAAAACCTTTGGATTGACACTCCTGCAAGGTGGCAAACTTTATGAAATGTAAGTGATGTTTGTAATGAACAGCTTGTGATTGACTTGGACAGGCAGACTCCAGCATTATGAACGGAGCAAAGGCACCTGCTTGTCACAGTTCAAGTGCTGATGCAGGCTGCAAGGATATAAAAAAACAACAACAACAAAACATCGGCATAAAATGGCCCATTCATCACTGAGGAGGCACACCTCCAGGGTGAAGAATCGAGCCTCCTGTCATTGTTCAAACTGTAGATAAACTCCAACCCAGAGCCAAAATATCAGAGCTGCAGGTCACAAAACGACCAAGGAGTCAGAAGACATTTCTGTCAAATACAAATATAACAAAAGGCATGAAATGAAGATAAAATCTCTCGGTGCATCACACGTTCAAAATTATTCTGAACCATCAAGTCTAGGCAGTGTCAGAAAAAGACACCAGTGCACATGAGTCAGAGGTACTGAAGTGAGGAAAAAGGAAAGTGCATTTGCTATCATTGGACAAATTGGACCACCGCAACTGGACACCGACTGTATTTCTCACTGAAGACTCACGTTATTTTAAGTCTGAAATGCCCATGTGAAAGATTTAGCACAGCCACAACAGCATGGCTGTTATTGTAGGGTGTGTGTGTGTGTGTGTGTGTGTGTGTATGTTTCATTATGGCAAAATGTGGTTCTGCAGACACCTACTATCGTGGGAAACAGACACATTTTGTCACCACAATAGTAACTGTGCAAGACAGTCACAAAACTATCTGTAGGTTGATTCCTCTAATAATATAGTAATGAGCACTGAGTAATCGTCAACATGTTCATGGGTGTTGCTGCAGGTGTGATTCCAGTGTAAGATGACTTCTTGCTGGGTAATGACGTAGTTTTGCTCAGACTGGGTCTGTGAGGGTTTATTACATATGTTCAGTGGCACAAGGACGATAAAAACTTTATGGACTAGTGGCAGCCCACTGGGATTTGTCCCATTATGCTTGATGGCCAGTATGTCACTGCAACTCAGCAACGGAAACATTGGAAACTAAAGAAAAATCTTCGCTTTCAAAAGGTGTTAGATAGTAGTTTTAGCTACATTTTTGAATAGAACCAAAGCTTTGTGCTGTTGCTCATCTGTTTAAGTGGAATCGTAAGTTTACAAACTACAGGAATGAGTATCCTCATTGGTTGAAGGTGCTCTTATAATTAGACCAGCAGAGATCTGGGACAGGCTGGACAGAATTAGTAATTATTTAATCAGTTCAAAAGAGGCTGTCAATGGCTTCTAAAATGAAATGAACACATTTTTAATACACACAAATTGAACGGGTAAACACTGGGAGGTGTCAAACATCTCTTTCTTCTTTCGATCCCTTTTGACCTTTTGATGCCTTACAACCCAGAGAGGCCTTGATGATTCTTTTCATAAAGTTTCAAGGAACAGTTTGCTTAAAAAGTAATTACTTTTTGCAGTAAACCTAATTCCAAAGTGTATTTTTGGTTACAAATTTCAGTTAAGTGAGCCTTCCTCACAGCAAATGCAAGTAGAATTTAAACACCTCCTGCTGCACCCACATCTTAGTTTGCATAATGGCAAGTTAATTTAACAGCACTTCCTGAGAGGGTATGTGAGTGTCTGGATAACCTGTAATTTATCAAGCATTGCATTACTCTACAGTGCACCTTATTAAACATATAGTATTTGTCTTTGCAACTATGCTGTATCATAATTTGTCTCCCACCAGCAATCACCAGCAAACCTTTCTGTTAATTACCCACTAACTAATGCTTCTAAGACTGTAACTCCTGAAGAGGAACATGCAGGAACAGAGCTATGAGAGACAGCACTTCCAATTATTTTCCTCCTCTCTTTGCTGCCTGCTTGCCAGTTGGGTAAATGTAATCTGTGTCATTAATTCACTGGATATGATCAGGAATTCAACTGAGAGTGATGACGTGTTGAAATTTGCCCACCTCTCTTCTACAGTGCTGTCTAAAAACTTGGACAAACCTTTATCATAGCATGACACACACACCTTTGTGTCTGTCTGTGTGTGCCTATAAGGGAGGGTAAAGTGTCAGGTCTCGGGGCGGTGGACTTTCAAACGTTGAGTATGCCCTACTGTGGAGCAAACTGTGACTGCTATCCAATGCCACGCTTGTCTGCCTCTGTTCAGATCACTTCCTCCGCTGGCTCCCGCCATCTGGTGGGAAGTAGCCTTGGCTCTTTTCAGATTTGGAGAGGCTCCAAAAAACTGTCTCCATCAGCTTTACGGTGCTCTCCGTTTCCTCTCTCTCTCTTGTTGTCCGTATTAGGAAGTTAACCAAGACATCAGCATTACGGGTGTAATCCTGCAAAATATGTCTCTCCCCAGATGCACGTCTGCCTCAGTCTCTCATTTATGACGATGGCAGAGATGAAATCTGTTAAATTAAATCTAACTGAGATGAAGAGATGTTGTATGCCGCTATAGCTGGTGTGGGTGATGCAGACTGATCAGCTTCCAGGTGTCTAGGGACACCTCCATCTGTTCTTTAAACAAACATGAGAAATCTAGTTACAAAATGTAATCAAAATTTTTGTAGAAACAATGCATCAAATGACTGGATGATTAAAAAAATGTGTTGCTTGCAGTGTGAAACACACAAAGACATGCCACCAGGTCTGCTGCTGCCCTCAGCTCTCTGGAATGTTTTAGCATCTTTCAGCCCATTGTTTTGGTTTTCTGGCCCATAATTTTACAGCTTTAGTTCACCATCAGCACTGGCATTGGTGTCAATTCCAGAAGCAGTTAGCAAAAACTCAATGTAGATGACCTGCTCAGCATCAAAAAACTGAGACGGAACTTAAGAGACTACAGCTGGTAAACATAAAGGAGGATTTAGCAGCTAAAAAGCCCAGTACACATTGTTTGAGGTAATAGAAATAAAATTAAAAACTGGACCTAAATTTGTCAGAACACAACTCCAAACAAATAATTAAAATCTGATGATGATGATGATGATGATGATGATGATGATAATCTCTAAATAATTACAGCATCTTCTAAAAGATGTGACAAAAAGTAACATATTTCAATACATGCAATAAATTCTTTAAAAAAAAAAAAAAATAATGATGCATTAACAGAAAAAAAAAAGAAGTCAGAATTCACACTTGATGTTCAAAAAAAAATTTGAGTTACCACAATTTTGTGCATAAGCTGTATATGTGAAGTCCATAGATAATTCAAACAAAGCTACCACTTAACAATGCCTTAAGGAAAATTGTTTTGAGATCACGAGGAGACAGAAATCTTGTGCTTCACAAACAAGGAAACCACAAGAGAGCCATCTCTATCCGAATCAGCAAAACAGCTGTCCATTACCACCTCAAAAGGGAAACGCATTATGGCTCCACTAAGAACCGCAAAGAAAGAAGAAGAAAAAAGTGGTCACAGAAGTCTACGACATATCAAGTAAGTCCCACAAATACACTTTTTTTTTTGGATATCTGTTTTGTAACTGCAAATTGACTGTAATAATCTAGGGTTGACTTGTAAACACAATAGGACTTCATAGTTTTCTTCATTTTATTAAGAGACAGAAACAAATTATTGCTGTAAACTGAAATCCTGTAATAATCCTAAACATTCCTATCATACAAAACATATACAAAAAACATGTATTTAAATTGCATTGATTATGGTCATTAAATAAATATGTAAAAACAAAAACTACTTTCTTTTAATAACTTGACCCTGTGCTTCTCTACTGTCGGTGCCGTTTCTTCATTCAGAAGGAACTCTCTGTCCTCGTGACATCTCGGGTTTTTCCGTTAGCATCGGGCTTAATGGACAGAACCAGCTCCATTTCCTGGCCAGGGGACTGGATGGGCATTTTGTTAATCTTGGCAAAGCTCTGGCTGATGTCCATAAACGTTTTATTTTTGGTTTCGGGGAGGACGACGTAGAGGTAGATAGATCCCAAGGTGCACACCCCCACAAACACCAGGAAGGCAAAGGCCTGCAGCAACTCCTGCACAAACAGAAAGCACACAGGAATTAGGCATTAGACAGATCCAATTCATCTTTTTTTTTTCAAATTTCCTGACAATGCATTGTTTATAAGATCACCGATTACCCACAATTCATTATTCCCAATTAAATATGACGCTGAGCTAAGCTTTTGTTTTCTTCTTTCAGCATTGAAACCATTTGACGTTGACTGTTCTCCCTCTTCCACGGGGCCAAATCCTGCCATTTTTCAGCCTTCCTAAACTCTTGCCAACTCCAGAGAGACGTCATCTGTGGCATCTGTTTTGTCATCTGTGTGTGTCCTGCTGAGGACAGCGTAACATCCCCATAATTTTCCACTCGAAAGGTCCCACAAGCTCGCATACGAGGGTAAGTCACATTTACGGCTCAGACTTTATGAACAACATATGCACGCATGTATACGACCGCTGAAGTCCACACAGTCTGAACGCTAACCTTGTCCAGAGTGTTATGCCAATAATAGAGATTAGTGACAGATTTAAAAATACACCCTGACTGATTACCCAGAGGGAGATTTAGATATGAAAAGAGGGTTTTATGTGAGTGTGAGAGAGTGAGAGAGAGAGAAGAGATTTTGCGTGGGGCAGAGAAACTTGACTGACCCTCACCAGTGTGCCACTGAGCTATAATCCCCTGCTCATGAGGGGACGGACCTCGGACGCAGCGCTGTGCACCTGGTATTAGAAATGCAGTGTCCAAACAACCGTGACCTCAATGAAGAACTACTTACTGCTTTGATTCCCGCAGTTATATCACCGCTGCTGTTAGACTCCGACGCTATTTTCCTCTGTTGAGCGTATTTCATAATGGCACCAAAAAAAACAGAGCACCGTGCAAAGGCCCTGACCCAGTTTCCGTGTCGCTTGTGTGACATAACGTTCATCTGCAAAGTTAGCAAGTTCTTCAGAAAACATTGCCTTTCTCTCTCAGTTGTCAGAGAATGTGAGTCACAGTACAAACAGGACGTTTTTCTGCGGCCGCTCCGTCTGTTATGAATCGAATTTTTGCAATCCCTGTAGGATTGAGGCGAGTGAGACAGTCCTGTGTTTGACGCTGGGATAAGCCTTTGATCTGCTGTGGTGGCTCAGCTGCGTTCACTTTGGTGCACATACAAGCAATTAGGCGTGCACACAAAGAAGACCAATCAGTTGCAGCATACAAACGCATGGAGCATGTTTTTTTTTTTTAATGTTTCATGCTCAGAGTACATGCCGGACCCAGACTGACGTGACATGAAGAGAGGAGTTCAGCGATGGGAAACCCAGAGCGGGGGTGGGACAGGATAAAAAAAAAAGAAAAAAAGACAAGACGAACAGTGTAAACCACACGTAGTGGGACGGGATGGGAAAGGATGGGACAAAACAGACATTGAGAGGATAACACTGGCCAGTAGAGGATGGCGACGGAATAAAACAAGCTTGGCAGGATAGCACAGGATAGGACCAAATAGTGCCGAAAGTTCAAGTCTAGGAAAGAATAATGACAGAAAACATGGTACAGACTAGGCCAGTGCCGGACGGGATAAGAAGAGAAGAGTTTAGGACAGGTCAAATCTAGGAAAGCAACAAAGTGACAGGATAGGACAGAACAAGACATTGCAACACATGACTTGAATAGCAACCAGTATGGGGTGGGACAAGACAGGACAGGACTGGAACGAACCCAACAAAATGGGACAGTAGAGGAGAGGACACCACAGGAAAGGACAAAAAGGTCTTGGAGAGGAAGTAAAGGGGCAGATGACCTCACGACATGACAGTTTCTGATAGGATGGGACAGAGCAGGACTGTATAGAATTTGACAATCTAGGATAGAACACAGCAAGACAAGAGAGTTTAGGATAGGACAGACTAGGACAGAAAGGGACAGACTAGGACAGGACAGAAAATAAAATGATGTGACAGAACAGATGATACTGAAAAGAAGAGAAAAGTATGAAGCAAAGAGTAAAGAAAAAAACAACAGTTCAAACTGGAAAGTACAAGACAGAAGTAACAAAAAAAAAGCCAGTAACTTAACAGGACAGGATGGGACACAACACCACAAGACAAAGGGGAAGAGAGTAGGACAGGCCTGTGAAGGATGGCACAGGACAGGACAGTGAATGTCTGGCCAACGTGGGATTAGAAAGGATAGGACAGAAAAGTATAATTCATTGAGAAAACAGGACAAAGGGCAAAGGACAGGACAGGATTGGACAAAATATAAAGGTACAGGACGGAACAGTTAAGGAAAAAGGACAGTCTGGGGTAAAATAGTGCATGATGAGCCAGAAAAAACTGACCACAAGGGGACAGTACAGGATGAGACAGTATGGGAAAGAGGTGACGGGACAGAACAGAACAGTGCTGGACAGACAGCATAAGATGGAACAGTGCTAGATGGGATGGGACGGGATGGGACCAGATGGCGCAGAACAGACCAGAGGACTGTACAAAAAGGACAGAATGAGTTAGGACAGACGACTCAGAAAGGGCAAAACTGGAAAGGGCAGAACAGTGCGAACCGGGACAGAAGAGGGGTAAAGGAGAGGAGAATGCTTAAACATTGACTGCAGTCGTGAACATTAACAAACTGTCCTGGTCCAGTGAGAGACCACGAAATGTGCTGTCACGGTCACTGGTTTCTGGGGCGACGGTGACTCATCATTGGTTGTAAGAATGTGAGCGCTGCGCTTTTGAGGGATTATTTGCATGTGTGTAGACTTTTATAGATTGCATTCCCAATGGAAGACACACTCAAGGACAGTGTCAGCGATGCATTAAAGACTGAGATGTACAAAAGATTAGACTGCAAATGTGCTGTCACTGGGCTGCTGGTGATTTCATTGATCGCTATACATCAATGCTGACACATTGTAAGCGTGACAATAGGAAGACAAACAATCATTCAGCCTTACAGTCATGGATCACAGCTATGATAACCCTCACTTACTGCAAAGGCAGGCATAAATGCATATAAACACGCAGCATACTAATGGATGTGACTGAGTGTGACGGGTCATTAGTCTTTACAGATGTCATAGACAAACAGCTTGTCATTACTGCTTTGCTTTCATAGTGTCAGTAAATGTCCAATACATTCATTTCATGTCATCACTGTCACTTTGAAGAACTACAACTAAATGGAAAAAAAACCAACTATCTCAAAAACCCACTCTTTTCATAACTCCATAAAAACAGCTCTGCTCTGTGTGTTTTTAAAGATTTTCTAAATTTTCTTAACCCACAGTTGAAATGTTAATGCTTTGGAAAGATAATCGGTGAGCTGTGATTTCAAAGCAATAAACTGTTGTGAAATAGAAACAAGACGGTTAGAATTTAGCTGAAATTGAAAGCTCAAACTTGACCATGGAAACCCGTTTAATAGGAGCTGTTTCCTGAGCTTTTGATCCAAACACACAATAGTTTTCAGCAGACGCCCAGCTATTTTAATGGACTTTAAAGATCGCTCACCTATGTTGGTGGAAAAGATCAATGCAATTTGAGAGTTATAAATTGTGTGCTTAAATCAGAAGCCCCTGACCAGAGTCCTTGGCCGAACAATCAATCTAATCTCCAAAGCGACAATGCCTTCAAACAACCTGGGAATTTAAAAACTATCTTTTTTAATGAGAACAGAGAATGCTATGAGTAGACCAACAAGCATTTCCACATTACTCAGTTTTTATCAGTCTAAGGTGAGAGCAGCTTGAATGCTTTGTTAGATGACTCTGTAAAGCATTCCTGCTAACTTGTGCGGTTGACAGCTGGCTGGATTATAAAGTTGGGTGAACTCGAATTAGGCACATTTGTAGCACTTTTAAATCACACATTTTCTTGTCATGACATGTGAAAAGCGCCACCAGGTCACCAATGTTTGCTTTGCTAGTATTCGTATTTGCAATCACTAGAATGTGCACGACAATCCTCTGTTTCCATTATTTACAGTCTATTTCTTCCAAATGGGTATTTGTGCCTGGGGAATGAAACAGAGAGACACAATAAAAGCAAGAAAGGGGCAGGTTGAATAAGAGGCCCTCAGTGGAAACTCTAAAGAAGGTTATCTGAGGTGGGTCGACTGAGAAATGAAACTGAGGGTGCTCGTCTTCAGCAGAATGCTGTAACATCACAATCTGCCTAAACAATAGTTAAATGAGGTCAGCTGTTGCAATGTTGCTGAAAAACATTTGGTTACTGTGCTATGAAATCATGTCGTATTGTAGACATTCCAGCAGAATTCCAATTTGAGTAAAAAAAAAAAAAAAATTCGAAAAAAAACTAAATTAAAATCCACCCACCAGAAGGGATTGGGGCGATCTGGCTTTACTTTGGTTCGCTTTAATTCATTTATCTGAAAGAATAATTGGTCCTTTCAAAATGCTGATAAAATGCAAACAGAGCAAACTGCTGCTGCTGTTTAAAACAGAGACACTGGGATTGTCATGCAGCCCCACAGCATCATAATAGTGAGCACTGTCTGGGCAGAATGCAAAGATAATGACATCATTCAAATCTCCAAAGTGGGAGGTAATAAACCTCTTTATCAGTATGACTTCAATTTAAAAAATTCATGGTAGAAGCTTGGAGTTGAGGCTCGGGGTGACCTTCACCACCCTCAGCCACAAAACAACTGCAAAGCAACTAAGAAACTCATAAAGAAGAAACAAAACAAGCGCAAAATAATGCTAAATTACCATTTAGACACAAAATAACAAAGGAGAAAAGAACTACAAATACACTGAACAACCACAAAACAATGACAGAATGGTCATGAAGTGTGACTTACTTTACAAAGAGGCCCAACAGACACTACCACGACAGAAAACAACTGCAAAATGATGAAAACAACTACAAAAGACACAAAACGGCCACAGACTCACCTACATTTACTACTAAGCTTAAAAAACAAACAGAAAAACCCTTAAAACAAACTAATAGAAAGACAAACCATACAATCAAATAGGGACAAAAACTAACTTAGTGGCAAAACATGACCACA